GTAGATAAGTCTATTATAATTTTTATTATAACAAAACTAAATGGCTAGAATATATAGATCTATATTTCTATCTATCTCTAATTCTAGCTAGGCCTCTAACACTTTTACTAGTCACTCATCACTCACTAGATCTAGTTTATAATACTTGACTTGTAATGTAATAATACTAATAGTTTATAAACTAGTAGATTTAAGACATTTAAGTAGATCTAGAGTAATCTAGACTAGCCTCTATGTTAAGTCTAAGCCCAGTCGCCAACATTATAATTTTTAATGCTTGAATTTGTATACCTCTGTAAATTTGTAATAGTTACTAATAGTAAGACCTAGTGAGTAGTGTCCTAGCATAATTCATAGATATAAATATAATATTTTATTAGTCAAGGACTAAACCTAAAGCCTAAGCTAAATCTATGTAGAATATATTTATAATAGATCTAATATATAGTAATTATATAGCCCTTTACTAGCCCTTACTATGCTTATTAATAAGGCTAGACTTTAAATCTAAAAAAATAATAATCTATATTGGTAATATTAAATACAGAATACAGATCTATACTAAACACAAGTGACATGTCTTTAAGTCTTAAACTTCAACAGGACCTATCCTAACGATTGCGGGGCCCTATGTGAAACTGATTGCGCAGGGCCTAGTCTGGGTGGGAATAAGGATAATAAGTGGAAATTAAGATTTTGTATAAAAAAAATTGACTTTGAATTCATTTTTACTAAGTACAAGATTACGATCAAATTAACTTTACTTTACGAACTTTGCAACCTATGACATATTAATGTGACAGTCACTATTAAAGTAAATAAAGTATAGGATGGAAACTTCCGATTAAAGTGAAAATTTGCCTGATTATTACATTTTATTACATGAAAGCTGACAATGCCTTTTTTCGTTTATCACGTGAAGGATTAGCGTTTTCCGGAATGAATGACACCCACAAATGACAATTTTGTCTATTTTCAGGAGATTTTTATGAGCTTTCATGAGATTTCCAGGTTTTATATATACCGGTACCACCTAGAATTAGCGCGGGGCCTATGAGAGTGCAGGGCCCACTGCGACCGCATAGGTTGCAGTGGCATAAGACCGGCCCTGATCTTACATATATTAAATTATTATTATTATTAAGAACAGTAAGAGTTAGATGTTAATGTTAGATCAGATAATCAGTATAACATATAATATATATATATAACCACTAGTTCTATATATATGTATGCATAATTAAGTATAAATGTTAATAAATAAATTTTAAAAAATCTATTTGACAGAAAACATATATATGACACGTGGCATACAGACAAGTTGACTAGATGGATCTTTCATCATTTTGGAAATACAAGAAGAGTTAATATTCCCTGATTCTAGTGTGAAACAAATCACAGAAACATTCTACAATTTTATTTGATATAATAAATACCAATAAATGTAAATACAAAATCACATTTTAATAGAGTTCTTCATTATACACACAACATTATTTTAGTTATGTTCCTTTTCACTTGTTAGGTTTAGACAAAGTTTCGAATCAGGATTTAATATTATTATGTCATAGCCCAAAACTCCAGCAGGATGTTAGTTAATGGCAGTGGTTAATGTTTGAACCTGAGACCACAGAGAAGACAGTTCGGAGCGCAAACCACACAACTTTCTGCGTTTTGAAACTTATTCAAATTTTGAGCATTAAATGTCGCACAGTAGTGGTTTTTATTTTCATCCAAGGGGCACAAACGAAACAATAACTCAATCATTAATTGTTTTGTTTCCTTCCAGAGTTAAATTTCTTCAACAAGTCTGGAATTAGGACATTTAATTTAAGATAGCATTAATTACTATATTAGAGTTAATTAGAGCTAGAGAAACTATAAACCTTGTTTTTTTTTTCAGAGATAATAATAGTCACATGTATAGACATATAGGCATAGATATATAATATATCATTACATAAAATTACATTTCAACAGAGGAGTAAGTTAAGAGGACAATTAATCTTTTTCTTAAAAAAAACAACAACAAACAAACAATACTCGATTATAGCACTGGGAGAAAAGAACTACATGTATATATTTTTTTTACCATAATTCTAATAATAAATATTTGGTCAAGCAGAGTTAAATTTTCTATTCCTTTAAAAATGCTAGATACTCTACCTACTGATTTGCTATAACAAATATGTACAATTACTTTAAAGTTATTCACCATTCATTGAATTACTGAACCCTGGAGCTGTACCATGTTAGTGCTTGTGGTGCATAATGTAGTGCTAAATATGAGGAAACCAGCAAGACATTTAGAGACAATTATTCCATTACTACCATTTTGGAATAATGTAGTGTAAGGTGTGGCATTTATTTTTTCAAAATATTGCACATTGTTTGTTAGACCTAGATATTTTAAATGCTGCTCTAATTTGCAACATATTCCAATCAGAAAACAATTTTGCAACTTTTTATGTTCAGCTTTGCTCTACCTACATTTATCTGAAGCCCCCAATACAATTTAAATACTACCGGTACTAATAGTCATTTGGATAAAAAAATTAAATTGAAAAAAAAAAGCTTCCACTTTGCTGCTTGTGTCATATATTTCCATAACTATTTGTTGATCATGCTGACATCACAGCTGGGGCTGCATAGCCATGGAAAATACTGCATTCCTCATTAATCTTCGGACACGAAGAGAAGCCTAATTATATTCTTACATTGGTAGCACCAATGGTAAACAAAATTTGAAAAAATAAAATAAGTAACAATTGATGAAAAAGATGTTAAGAATGAACTGTGAACTATGAAAAGCTTGAGAAACTTTCACAAAGGAAATATTTCTATATTTTTTGTCTTGCAACTTATAATTGTCTACACAAAATGACAACCTTCACTATTTACTACAGAAGATATTAATTTACAAAATTTATTTAAGATATGGGAGAAAACTATGAAAGATTAAAAAAGAAAGTTGCTTTTGTGTTAAGAAAACGTTGCAGACAGTAAAAACAAAAAAGATGGGCAAGTGACAACCTTAGACAGAGTTTAGGCTGCGCTGGGTATGGGAAGCAACATCCCACATGATGCCAACGGCAATCTTTTCAGTTGAGCTTAAAGAGGGACAGGCTAAGAGAGGTTCACAACAGAAATGTTAAAAGACCAGCTCACATGCAGCCTGCTCTCAATGGCATAGAAAACACCTGTCAGCAAATGGTTTTTAAAAGAACTAAACTGGAGAACTCTTATGCCACAAGATACACATTGGAGACCCATAGAAAACTGACTGCTGAAGAAAGGCAATGAGTCAACTGTCTTCAGGTAGACAATGACTTTTGATTTGGGAATGATGTAGGTCACAGATACACATACAACTCTGCAGTTCCCTCTCATCAATATTTGAAGTCAAAGACTTTATTGCTATGAGCCGATATAAAACTTTTAACATATTGTCACGATCTTCTCTATCAGGCCTTCTGTAAACATTGCTAAATAAAACAGCACATCTAAAACAAGAACTTGACAACAAGAGTTTCAATAAACTATGTGGCGGTTTAATTACAATTACATCGACAGCCAATTCAACACAATTGGCTACACTAACTTCAAATGCTTTCTTGTACTTAACAGAACTGACTAACTAAATAACAGAACTGCCTAACTAAACTCTCTTGCTCGTACAGCTACATTCTCAAGGACTTACATGGTACCGCACAGTTCTTACTGCCCCTTCTGTCCTGGACCCAACTGTTCTTTCTTACACACTGTCTCTCATCTGAGAAGGCTTTCGATCACATGACCATAACACGGGTCATATTTGCGTGTACTTGCAGTACTGTCTTTGTCTATAGACAGCCGTTGACCTGTGTGTTTGGTTTGAGTCGCGTTTGTCAGTAGTCTGCCACTGGAGTTACAACAATATAAACTAGTAATAAAGAGAAACAGAACAGTACAAATTTGTTTAATTGATAGGAAAGTGTGTCACTTTGCATTGTAAATCTACATCTGCCAAATTTTTAATCAATAATAAGTTCTAGTTTATGTTTTCTTTAAAAAAACAACAACAAACATTGTTAACTTCACAAGAAATTATTAAATAATGATATGCAGTAAACACTAGAATAATGGGTTATGGTCCAAATGATATAAAATTCAGCTGAGCAAGAACTAACCAAGATGACACCTTTGCTCTAAATTTAACATTCAAAATGTGAAAGTCACAAACAAAAGCAAAACACAATATTTGTCTGTTTTCACATTATTTTATTGGACACAGCTCTACACATAATAGATAAAGCAAAATGTGTAAAATAGTATTAATTTTTTTTGTTTAGGTCAGGGAAACAAAGAGAAGTAACTCATGGATGTCACCATTGAAACCAGTGGAGAATCCTCCTATGATATCAGAATAATGAAAAATAAAATGACTGATAATATGAAGCAAGAGATTAGGAAAGAGACTTTAGTAATACAAAAAAATATGTGTTAAAAAAAAATAAAAAATACACAGCTTTATACAGTAACACCAGCCATTATGAATATGGCTTATAGTCTTCCATTGATTTTTTTTTTCAAGAAAGTATAAAAATAAAACAATACAAAATAATAGTAATAATAAATTGTCACTTAACAATGTTTATAGGGACAACAAGAACAGACAACTCAAATTATCACAGCAAAAACTACTTATCATCCACACTGTAGGCACACACTTTCTCAAATTAATTGTTTAAATATGTAAAACACCCTTTGCTAGTTTTTTTTACCAACTCTTTAGTCTTAAAATACAGGCAGTTTTTTTGCTTTCACAGTAAATGTTGATATAAAAGACTACTTAATAATGACACTATTGTTAAAGGTAAAATGGTCAAGAAAAAAAAATTTAACACTTCATGGCAGTCTAAAGACAGTCCAACAAATTTTGAGACAAGAAAAAAATAAAATCTAACAATACTTAATTGAATAGCTTTGTGACAGAATCAAATTTATGTCACAGCCTCTCAGATGATAGCAGCTTTGTAAACATTTTCACTATGTTTGATGATCTAACTCACACTGATGAGAGATTCCAATTCTAGCACAGCTATTCTTTCATGAATTGCACTGCACTGAAATGCTCCAATGAAAAATCCTTCCAGCAAACCCCATCCACTACAAAAAAAAAAGTAAATAATCCGAACCAACAGTTACATCAACATAACTACTAGCTAGTGTGGCACACTTCTAAGCATCATTTCATGTACAACACACCCATCCATGTACATTAAAGCCAGCTTCTAGTTAACAGGGAAAAAAAAACAAAAAACAACTATTTGGTATTTTCTTGGTGTTGTGTTACAGTTAAAATGACAGTAAGCATTACATTAAAAAAAAATTCATCTCTAGTTTTGGTTAAAAATGAAGTAAAACAAAAAAATACCAACAACAGCGAAAACAAGTAAAATACAACAACAAACACACTACAGAATCAGTTATTGCAATGTCTATAAATGCCATCATCCTGCACATTCACCGAGACATAATTAAACCCAAATCATGTCAAGATGGAAGGAGATTAAAACAGAGAGAGAGAGAGAGAGAGAGAGAAAAAAAAAAGCACAGACCAATCCAATACGCAGTGACATGCATTGAAACACATTAATATGTACACAGACTCTTTTCAGTTTAATTATAACCAAAGTCAATAATTACACATCTCATATGCAGTAGGCATGGAAATAATGTGAACATAATTCAACTGTACATTTAATATGTATAATACACTATGGCAGCAACTGACTAAAACTTTGATCTTGTAAAAGACTGTCACTATATTGTGAACACTAGAATGAGAAACTAGTAGAACAAGCCTAAGGACAAAAATGTGTGGTTTTGGCAGCAGTTCCATACCATTATCATTGAATGGAAATATTCCTTAAGACTTGTTTATCCTTTCTTTGGGTTTTCAATCAATAACAAAAAAAAAAAAAAAAGATTTTGAAAGAAAAAAAAAAGTTAGGGCAAGAACAACTTCTTCAGAACTCCAAAAAGGAACTAAAAGTAAACATCAAGTGACATATATTGAGGTTTTTTTTTTTGGTTGTCTATAAATGAGAACAAGGAACTGTTGATGGCTCTAACAGCTTGGGAAAAATAGATGTATGCAAAAGCTGACATGTAAAATAAAAAGATTAGACATCTCAAAAGACATATAAAGTACTGCCTACTCTTGAATGGAACTGTACTGCTACAAAAACACTACATGTACAGCACTACCAGACGGAACCTCTGTGAAAAAAATATCTTGTCATTTAGTTTTACATTATAAGCAAAGGGAACAGAATTTAATAAATGTAAACCTAAACTGTTTCATACATGGTTTATACTAGTAGACTGCTGCTCTTTAAAAGTGAGTTTAAAGGTTTGTTAGATACTGTACTATTTGTTAGGATATTCTAATAAAAAAATAGTACTGGTTGGACTATTTGTTTGCATTTTATAGAAATTACAACCAACTTTCTTGTTTTAAAAACTACAAACAACAGAAGAAGAATTTTCAATGAGGGTGGGACAGGCATAAACTGTATGGTTGTAATAAATGAGTGTCTTTAACTTCAAAGCAGGATGGAGGTTAGGGATTTCTCTCAAAGTTGAGTTGAATAGTTCTAACAACAGTAGGAAAATCTAGGCTGGTTAGCCAGCCCTCTTGTCAAATGGAATAGGACAGAGTTCTGGGCATGCTAAAGAGGCATGGAGAAGGAGAAGTAACTTAGTGTCTATACAGCTTACTTAAATAAAAAGAATCTCAAAATCATGGATATTATCAGATCTATTGTATTAGCTACATAAAGTAGAACATTAATTTAACAGTAAACCAAACCCTTTTTCCTTAAGTGTATTTTTTCTTTACTGAACTGAAATTAAAAATTACAGTAAAAAAACAACAAGAAGAAGAGATGGATATAATAGAATTCTGAAATAGCAATACACAGTAAAAGGAAAACAACAAAAAGCTGTGGCTAAATAATGTTTATCAAATAGGCGAAAGTTCTACCCTGCTTTTAATCTAAATAAATATTTCATTTTTTAATTTTTGGTGAAAGAAAAATTACATAAATATTTAGATACCTTATTACTTGCCTAATGAGCAACTGAAAAATAAAATGCTTGAAAAAGTCTACCATTGAAAGTTATGAAATAGAAAAGTAATTTGACCTCAAGTTTTTCCCCACTCAGAAACATGGGTATATGAATAAGTGAGTATTCACTTACTTAAACAGAGACAAATAATATAAACAAAAGTTACAAACAATATTTAACAAGGGAGTTTTATAGCATAAAAAGATTCCCACAGTAACAAATGACATGAATGAATTTGTTCTAGGAATACATGACATCATAATTTTGCATTTTGGTGTTTTTTTTTGTTCATCATAAGCAGATGCCCAAAACAAAAACAATTTTTAGAAACCTAGTTACAGAAAAGTGATTAAGCCACGACAGAAGAGTCAATGTATATTTATAATTTCATATATATAAATAATATTTATATAAGACTCAATTTATAGTATATATGGTATATGTCTACAGTATATAATGAAAAATCACAAAATAAAACATAAACACAAGAATGTGAATAGAATACATGACAGCATTATCTAGATGTGTTAAGAGAGCTATTTACATTCATTTACATATCTATATTTACAAAAGAGAGAAAAAAACAACAACAACACAATGAATGGTGTTTGTCACTTAGTTTAAAGACAAAGTGTTAACCATAAAAGGGAAAAAAAAAAGAAACCTAACAAAACTGTCCACGATACAAAGAGGCATATTGAAACATGGGATGAAGTTTTTCATGCATGAGCACTGTACAAAATGTTTTCATGGAAACCATTCAGCATTACTCTAATTTCATCTAAGCTACAGTCACGCCAAAAAGCATGCAATGTCCATGACACATTATATATTTTTTAAATAAGGACAGCTCTCCAACAGATACATTTGGTCATTAAGATTGGGAGGAGAAAAAAAAGTTGTTGTTTTTTTTACTAACCCACAGATATAATATATGGCTCTTTTATTGCTTTGGAAAAATACTTCATCTACACAGTAAATACATGAATCCGCTGAAAAGCATGAAGTGTTCTTTAACCATGTCAAATGATTTGTAGATTACAGGAGCACAGTGATACATGATCCAATAGGAAAATCAGTCTAACTTCACAAAAAAGTATTTTAAAACACAAAATTTATTGCAGCATCTGTTTGTGCATATCTGACTGTAAGATTATCTTAACATTTTAATCAGTGGAGATACATATATATATTAGACTCTAAATTGAAAAAAAGTTTTAAATTTTTTTTTCAAGTAATTTTGTGATTAAATTAACACCAACTAAGGAAGAATGGAAATCCAATTAGCAGATGGTCTAACAGTCACTAACAAGGATCAGCATTTTGTTTGGGTACTGGAGGATTGTAGAATGCACACACATTCTGGTGGTAGCGAAAACTGGCATAGTGCTGGTACCTCCTGCCACATGGCTCACACTTATATGGCATTTCTCCAATATGAGTTTGAATGTGAGCATTGTAGGAAGAGAGCTGGGTGTAGGTCACTCCACATGTGCTGCACATGTATGGCTTGTCTCCTGTGTGCATCCTTTCATGGGCATGTAAGCTGGACTGCTGTGTGAATGTGTTGTCACAGTAGCGACACTTCAGTCTCTCACCTGTGTGAGTCCGCACATGGGCTTGAAATATATCATTCATGTGAAAGCCTTTACCACAAAATTCACACTGAAAAGGTGGATCTGTGGCAGCGTGATTCATTTTATGAATTTTCAGCTCGGTGGCAGTAAAATAGCCCTTTTCACACAAGTCACAATGAAACGGCCGTTCACCAGTGTGTTTCATCTTATGCTTTTTTAGCAGGGCTGGATACTTGAACTTTTTCTCACATAAATCACAGCCATAAAGTTTCTGTCCAGTGTGATTCTGGGTGTGATTATGTAAATAGGTAAGACATTTGAAACTTTTGTCGCAGTAGTTACATGGATATGCTTTATCTTTGATGTGTGAAATTCTATGGCGCTTGAGGCTTTCTATACGGGAGAACATCTTCTCGCAAATTTCACACTTATGTGGCCGTTCTCCAGTATGGATCTTTTTATGTATTTGCAAGTATGGCTTATGTTTAAACTCTTTTTCACAAATGTCACATTTATATGGCTTTTCATCCATATGTGACCTTAAATGCCTCTTGAGCGCATCTTTTCTTGCAAAGCCTGTCTCACAGATATGACATTTGTGGGGCTTCTCGCCTGTGTGTGTGCGCTCATGCTCTTTGAGCTGACTCTTGTAAAAACACTTGTGCCCACATGTACCACAAACAAACTGTTTGTCTCCAGTGTGAAACAATGTATGCTGCCGCAGAAAGAAGCTATTACTGAATATTTTGCTGCACAACTCACATTTGTAGATTTTATCGAGGGGAATATCATCCTGAAGACTAGGTGTAGACATGTTACTTTTAAAAACTGCATTATAGAGGGCATCATCATCATCTGTGGCAACACTCTTGTTAACTTGCTCTTTCTCTATTGCAAACTCATTGTTCCTGTTGCCATACAATGTTTCAACATTCATTTTGTTATTTCCGATGTACATGAAGTAGTCATTCATATCATGTGGAGGCTTAACAGCCTGAAAGGAGGATGTGCCGCTGGTGGAGGGCTCGTTCAAGTGTTCATGATCCATTTGAGAGTTAAGCCTTTGTTTCCCCCCTCCACCATTGTCCAGGCATCCTGCCATGCCCTGATTTACCATGTCCATCTCATGTCTTAGCTCTCCTCTATGTTGCTGGCTGTGACTTGCAGTTTTGATCAAGGCCTCACCCCTGGCCAGAAGAGAAATAGGTTCAACAGACTGAAATGAGTTGCCCCCACTAGTAGAAGGCTCATTAATCTGTCCATGCTCTAGCTGAGAAGTTAGTCTCTGCTTACTGCTGTTAGCGTCGAGGCAGCCGCCAAGACTTTGATTCACAATGTCCATTTCATGACGAATCTCTCCTCTGTGTTGCTGGGTAGGATTACCACCCTTGCTCATGATTCCATCACCCCTAGACATTAAAGATAATGGCTCTACTGGCTGAAATGCAGTCCCACTGGAACTACTCTCATTTATATGTTTATGATCTATTTGAGTACTAAGTCTTGATTTGCTATTTCCATCTAGACATCCACCTAAACTTTGATTAACCATATCAATATCATGTCGAAGTTCCCCCCGAGATTGCTGACTATGGCCCTGATTCTTGGTCATAAGAGCATCTCCTCTCGCGAGCAAGGATAAAGGCTCAACTGACTGAAATGCTGTGCCCCCGCTGCTTGA